TAAAACATTATTTAATTTTTAATCATTAGTAAAATATATACTGCATGCATAATTTACAAATTCATATTATATAAATTCTGTATTTCTAATTCAAGGGGGCATGCCTGAGCATGGAGGGGTATACCTCTAGCCTGAGGCATGCCCATAGAGGCATACTCAAAAATTTTTCTATGCCCCCACCCTACATCCAAGTCTCTTGAAAATAGTTTAAAACTTCAGGTTTGCTTTCATAATATTTTAAAAAATTATTCTATTGAATTGTGAATTTCTGTTCTGTAATCGATGCTACTATGACTTGCCAGGTTTTTAAAATTTCATTCCAGTCTTTTTCCATAGTAAAATAAAGATTTACATTTAGTTAAGATATTCTTGTTTATATGATACATGCAGATAATATTTCAAGTGTTAGGAAACACTTTGTCAATAGCTTTCATCAGCGCTAATTCTCTATTGGTAACAATCACATCAGGAGAAGACAATCCACTAAAGATTTTTAATACACAGGTTAAGGCCTACTTATACTCTGTTTCAGATTCACAACTTAAAAAGCAAAACAGGAAAAAAAGATTGTATTAAAACATAATACCCCAACAATATTCAGCAAAGGTATTTGATATCTATTGGTCTTGTATATGCAATCTATAAGCAACACAGTCAGGTAGGTATGTGTTAAGGAAATAGATATCCTATGAGCAAAAAAAGGCATGTTATGCAATTTTGATGGTCACACTGATATTCAAATTCAAATTCTGATCCGTTCAGTTCATCAAGAAAGGCTTGGATCAGCATATAGCCATCAAGTCTTTCTTAGCGAATAGAATACAAGGAACTATATATTGTCCAATGAAGAAGGATTATTATTATGAATTGTTGATAAAATTTGACGTGGATGAGAGCCAGCAGAAGCTATTCATTTAACTTGTTCCTGTTGTTTGTTATTCAACCTTCAGATGATAGGATGACCAAACATATTCACAGATGCTTCATGATTGTATATAGAGTTTCTAACCTCAAGGTGCCAAGTATTTTTACATCTTGAACCATAAAGTTCAAATTCACAATTCAAAAGTTTTGAAGATGTTTGTCTACGGCGTGAGTCCTCTGTCAAATTTAATCTGTTTCTGTAGTAACTGCTTCTATTACAACCTAATGTCATATTCTTGATTTCACTATTTACGTCCAATCATGATCTTCTTATTGTTATAGCATACTCTTGGGTTTTGGCAAAATTCTGAACATGTGAAAGGAGCTCTTCTCAACTTTCAAATAAGCCGGCTGAAGGTGGTTGTATACTGAATATTAAAGATGATATGTATCCTAGTATTATCAAATTGAATTAATAAATAGTTATTAAATTCTACTCTTTTATCAACAATTTTATTTTATTATTTTTTTTTAAATATAATTTCACTAACTAATTTTTTGGTATTTACTTTAAACATAACACACAAGATATTTAAAACTGATAGTTTTTAAATTTTTAATATCAAAGATAAGAAGAGAAAGAAGACGATTTGTATTTTTTAACTATCCTCTATTTATATACATACAATAAGCAATTTCAAATACTGAATCTATAGTCAGACATTCAACTATATATTATATTATTAATTGAATTTACAGTATATAGAATTCAAACATATATACAAGATACATAGAGTTGTAAAACTACTATAATTTTGCGCACTTTCATTGATGTGATTATTGTCATGTTGATAGATTATATTGTATCGTTCTGAGTTATATCATTTGTTTCACATAATATAGAGAAGACTCAATTTATTTTTGAACTATTTTTTCTTTCATACTACATCACAATACTAACAACACTTTTCATTTAATATATTTAAATATGACTCTATAAGATGTAGTTTTATATTTATAATTTTTTAAAACAGAACCAATCTCTAACAATTTATTCCTCTTTTATACAAATTTAACTATCGTTTACTACTAATATGACTACATATTTATGCAAAATTTGATTTAACTATACTTTACTACACATTGTTCAATTTAGCTATATTTTACTATATATCATTCAAAAATTTAGCTATATTTACTACACATTGTTCAATTTAGCTATATTTTACTATCATTATGAACATGGCACTTTACACATCATTTAATTTAGCTATATTTTACTATAAAATATACATCTTTTGTTTACAAATATGCATGTACGCATGTACTAATCTGATCAAGTTATTCATTAAAAGCTAGAGTTCAGGGCATACTCAAAACTTCCATACCCCGTTCTCTCATAAAAGCCTGCATAGTATATTCGTTTATTGTATATTTTTTAAAAAAAATATATTTTGGGTTGTATAACTTGTTACAAAAACATTGGATATAATAATATTAGTATTATTCAGGGTTTATATAACCTAATATAATCAATATATATGAAGATATACAAAACCTAATTTATGTATGTATGTACGTATGCAGGCACAACATTTCATGTGACTTATAGGTACAATATTAGCTTGAGTTAGGGTTGACTGTTATGCCTATAAGTACATAAGCACGTGAAATATTGTGGCAGTAGCAATTTCTTTTTGTTAATACCAAATATCTATTAGTCACGTGATGAATATAACATCATAACGATTCAATATAGATTAGAGAAGTCAGAGATTGGCTCTGATCATGTGGAGGGTGGTATTAGCAAAAGTAGGGTGGCATTAACAGGTCTCTAATAATAAATCAAAAAAAATTTATTTTATTTACTTTAGAGTTAAGATAAGGCCTGAGATTTTAGCAAAGTATTAGATATATACAAAATTTAATAAGAAAGTTTTTTTGTTAGAATGTTGAAAGTAGTTTCATAGATGAATTCTTAAGATATTGTTATTTTTTTAAAAAAAAATTTATTTTTATTGCACAAATTAATTTGCATATTACACCTTATCCTGCCAATTTATTGGCTAATTATATACTGGTAATTATTATACATCAGGGTGAAACCTGTGTTTCCTGCTAGTAAAATCTATGTTGATTGGTTATTTTATGTAAAATCTGTGTTAATCAATTATTTTATATAAAACCTAATATGGATAGAGTGAAACCTGTGATCAAAATAAAGAATTTTTTAAAAATTTGAACAAAAATATCTCAACAACCATCTGCTCAAACTCAATGAAAATTTTTTTATTTGAATTTTATAGATTTATTGAATTCAAATAAACAATTTTTATTAAATTTGGTCAGACGATTGTCAAAATAACTTTGCTCAAAATTTTAAAAAAAATCTAAACATCTATTAAAATAGAAGCTATACCAAATTTTTATAAAACTTTGAGCACAGATATCTTGACAACCACCTGATCAAATTCAATAAAAATTTTTTTGTTTAAATTCTATAGATTCATAAAATGCAAATAAAAAAAAATTTACTAAATTTAGTTAGATAGTTGTTGAGATATCATCACTCAAAGTTTTAGAAAAATTTGGTACAGTTTCTATTTTGATAAACACTTTGATTTTTTTTTTTTAAACTTTGAGCAAAGATATCTCGACAATCATCTGACTGAATTTGATAAAAATTATTTTATTTATATTCTATAAATATATAGAATTCAAATAAAAGAATTTTAATCGAATTTGGTAAGGTGGTTGTCAAGATATCTTCGTTCAAATTTTAGCACAGCTTTATTATATTTTGATTTTTTTTAAAAAATTTGAACGAGGATATCTTGGCAGCAACCTTACCAAATTTGATGAAATTTTTTATTTGCATCCTATAGATTTGTAGCACTTAAATAAAAAAAATTTGATCAGGTGGTTGTCGAGATTTCTTCACTCAAATTTTTAGAAAAAATTTGGTGCAGCTTCAATTCTGATAGATATTTTGATTTTTTTAAAATTTTGAGTGAAGATATCTTGACAACCACCTAACAAAATTTGATAATTTTTTTTTATTTGCATTCTATGAATCTATAGAATTTAAATAAAAGAATTTTTATCAAATTTGGTCAGGTGGTTGTTGAGATATTTTCGCTCAAAATTTTATAAAAATTTAGCATAACTTCTATTTTGATAGATTTTTGATTTTTTTAAACCTTTGAGTAAAGTTATTTCGACAACTGCCTGACCAAATTCGATGAAAATTTTTCATTTAAATTCTATGAATTTATAAAATTTAAATAAAAAAATTTTCATCAAATTTGAGCAGGTGGTTGTTGAGATATTTTTGTTCAAATTTTTAAAAAATTCTTTATTTTGATTGCAAGTTTCACCCTATCCATATTAGGTTTTATATAAAATATCATAGCTGATTATGAAATCAGATTATTGTGAAATTTGGATCTATTTCATGTATGATTTTTAAAATTTTTTGGGCCTTTTT